AGGTTGACGAGGTGAAGCTTCAGCTGTTAAGCTCTCTCACTGTGCCCCAGGATTGAGACACGTGTCTCGACTCGGGGATCGACGAATGAGATGGCCTTCCACCGTCCCAGCATCTCGGGAATTTTGGAGGCGTCGGGGTTGAACTACTTTTGGACATATGCAGAAACGCCTTTTTCTGCAATTGCTTGTGGAAGGGGTTCGTTTGTTGGAAGAGGGAAGAAGGAACATTTAGGTAAGGTAGGGAAGAAGGGTAAGGGCGGAGAGGGGCTCTACAGCATTCATCATTGGTACTACCTCATTCAGGGAGTGAGACATTTCACGGACGGTGTATCCTGCTTCCGGGGTCCCCCCCCCCCCCAAAATTGTGGCCATCTCAATTCGAAGTGCTGGCTAGGTACCTTGTGCCGCACCTTCGGGTCCCGGAACGGCGGCGTGAAGTAACGAGAAAGGGCCGGATGTGGTCTGGGAGGACCTGGACCCCTCGCAGGGGTGGTCTAGAACCGGTGTTGCTCATTTTGGGTAAGTAAAGTAAGTGAGCGCATAGGTACCCTGAGACAGAGGAAACGTCAGAGACAAACTACGTCAGAGGAGATGTGCAGGATGGGGATCATGCTGAGGTCAACGGCGTTTCCCGGAGTTAGTCCCGACGCAGTCTGTTTGGATGATTTCTCCGCCAATGCCCGGATTCTGGTCTCCCTTGATGATTTTTTAAGGAAAGGGCTCGTCACAAGTTGACTGAACACAGACAAATCGAGGGCTGGTGTGATGAAATATGTACGTTTTTGTGTTACCGTTCTCAAGTCGCAGTCACAGTCACACAGTCGCGGGATGAATGGCAAAGCACGAAATGATTAGGAGCGGGACGGTGAGGGGAACGAGCATGAAGTATGGTTCTGAAATTTTCTTGAATTGGAAAAGTCAGGCCCCCAGTCTTTTTTCTTTGGTAGAGAAAAAAAAAGCAGGCCTCAAGTTTTCGTCATTGGTATCGTAACGGGTCATCAGTAAACGTCCGTCCTAGCTAGACATCCAGCCCAAACCCCCAGCTTTGTGAAGAACCTTTCTTCAAAAGCTCATGGCCAGCTAGCCAGGGAACAAAATTCATGCCCCTCTCTCAATCTCTGTATGTCTCGTCTGTGACAGATAAGACTAGAAGAGAAAGAGGGTTTCCATTAATTCCTCCCCTCCCCCAAAATGTCCACGCCATCCCGTGAATGCAAAGTTGATAATGAAAACTCCCCAAAGAATGCAATGCCTCCCGAAACCTGAACAAAGAAGGGGTATCGTATCCTTAGCCTTTTTTTCCTGTTGTGTTCACAAAATCATCTCCAAAGCCAGACTTAGAATGTAGTCGCGGTGACCAAAATAGCCAAGACGCTCATGAACAAGCCCATGAAGACCTGGTCGCTGCCCAAGAGGGATGAGGCGCCATTGTGAGAATCGGAGGAGCTCGACGAGGAAGGATCGGTCGAAGTCGGGGCGGCAGTCGTCGTGCCCGTGTTCGTCGAGGAGCCACTGCCACCGCTGCCGCGGGTAGCCGCAGTGGGGGTAATAGCAGCGGAGGGAGCGGGCGAGGCGTTACCGGTCGCAGAGGAGGATGACTGGGGATAAGTTGTTATAAAGACGAAATCAGAGGGAGTCACGAACTTCGGACTCGGAATGGGGGGGTTTGTGTAGGTCGAGCCAGTCGGGGCGTCGGGGAAGAGCCACGGGGAAGTGGTAGTAGCAGTAGTAGCAGAAGAAAGAGGAGCCGAAGAAGAACTCACTGCACCAGGCGCGGGCGCGACGCTGCCGTCCGGGGTGGCGGGTCCGTTGCAGAGTCCGACGAGGCCGCTGGGGACGGCGTTCTCGCCGTTGGTGATGGTGATGATGTCCTCCTTGCCGCAGTCGGCGGCCTGTGCCATGTGAATCGCCTGATTATCCCAATCGAAGACGAAGTAGCCGGCCTGCATCATGCTGTCGCCGAGGATCTGCTGGTCGGTGGTGATGACGAGGCCGACGTAGCACTGGCCGTCCTTGGGGCCCATGTCGAGGATGAAGTCGCTGAGGGGCACGCGGATGGTCTTTTTGCCAAAGGTGAAGGTCATGTAGGAGTCACTGCCGCCGTTGGCGAGGGTCGGGGTGCGGAGGGAGCAGTCGGCGGTCCAGTATCCGCTGTCATCGCTCACTGCCTTGAGGTCCGCGAGGATGGGGCGCGCGAGGGCAGGATGAAGGCGCGTCAGGGTAGTACCCGAATCGAGCATAACGTTCGTGTCAGCTGCACCGATGTCGTAAGACTTGACGGGCTGGTTAGGAAGAGACATGCCAACGGCGGAAAGGGTGGCTGCGAGACTGGAATTGTGAGTTAGTATGAAAAATACGGTGGCATTTTCAGTTGATCAGGTTGGAGTGAGAGAGGCCTTGACTTACCGAGGCTCGCCTCTGATGCCAGCGATCATGGGAACCTTTAGAAGCTCTCCAATGAACTTGCCCTTGTCGAGACCGCCGTAGATGAGCGCGCCAGAGTCGGAGGAAGAGTGGCGGAGATCCAGCGAAAAGGCACGGCTGCCGATGACGTCCTGATCAGCCAAGGTATTGAGAATCAGGCTGTAGGGCTTGCCCTTCTCGAACCCAGCCTTGAGGTCAGGAGCCAGGCCCATGATGCCGGTGGCGATGCCATCGCTCTTGGTGACGAGGCCAAAGGTCTGGTTGACGATGGCACCAGCGCCCATAGTGATGGTGTCAACGTAGTAAGCGATCTCGGCGCTGGTCTGAGTGCTGGCGTCCGAAGCATCTCCGTAGTTGAGTCTTCGAGCTCCAATGGGGCCAACGGCCGGGGTGCGACTCTTGGCCGGGTTGTACTGGCCAGCGGCAAGACACTGCTTGGCCTGGGAGGCAGAAGGAGCGGTGGCACAGTCCGGGTTGACCCAGAGCTCAGAGGAGCCAGTATCGAGTAGGACAGTGACCTGCTGGGCAGGAGTGCCGATCGAGACTATTTTTTTATTGTGTCAGTCTGCTCAAAGGATTGAGAGGTAGCAGGGAAATGCTCACTATCAGTCGAGTAGTAGAACTGTTGATTCTTGAGAGTAACCTCGATGGCCGCTCTCTTGTCAAGGTCACCGTAGTCAGGTCTGACCTGTCTGACCGGCATGGCGATAAATCCCTGGCCTGCAGTGGTGCGAGGGAAGGACAAGGCCGTGACGGAGCTCACAGCCGCGCCAGCGGCGGTGAAGGCGATGAAGATTCCAGACTTCATCTCGGGCAGCTTTCGATGCTCTCGTTGTGGTATTGTTTGGCTTGAATGAGATACAATAAACCCAGAGATAAGATACCGAAGAAGAAAGGGTAAAGAAGGTAAAGGTGGGAAGGTCCCGGAAGAAAAGGATTGTTGAAGCTGAAGAGAACCTTGAAGAAGGGGAAAAAGAGATGAGGCTCCGTGAATCGGGGATATCCAGCGGATAAAAAAGAAGGAAGGAAGTGAGTGTAAGGTAAGGAAGGTAAGGTGTGGAAAAAACGCCACACGGAATCTTCAGCTTCTAGGTCGATGGTGTAAGGCAGTACAGCTCAGCTCGGCCTAGGTGGGTCCCGGCCCCGGCCCAGGTCGTCGCGATCGCTTCTGGGGATGAGTTGGTAGCATCGACTTTTGAGCACTAACCTGAGGTATCCGTAGCAGAGCGAGCCATTCGAGGAAGGAGCGCAAGAGAGGGAAAAGGCTCCGACAGAGGGAGTCTTGAGTGTCTTGAGTCTCGATGCATGCACACGCGCTAGCTGGCGTTGGCGTTGGTTGGGGCTCAAAGAAGACAACATCATAAAGAGGGACATGTCTCTCCTCCATCTGCCGTCCCCTACTACAGCCTCTGCTTGCGGCACCTTCAACACCAACAACTCCATCCCGACTTCCGGTTCCTTGGCTAGATTCTTGGCCGGTACCTCAGCACGCGTGGCCAAGTGTCTAGATGTTCTTCAATCTCCACCCTGGCTTACTCCAGCTGGCTCAAGTTGCACAAAGAAAACGGGCAATGGGCCAGCTTGCTTGCTGCATCCGACCTCTCTACTTGGGCCCAGGTTCTCTTCCCATGTGGACTTCCACGTGAGGTTCTCGCCATCGACTCGCGAGACTACTCGTTGAACTGGAATCGATATTGGAGCCATGATGGTATTGCGGTAGTTGAAGTTATGCTTGGAGAAATGATCGTCAATCCTACCCTTAGTTGCAGGAATTCGGCCAAAGGCACGGAGAGCGCGCTCTCTAGAATGTGAGACACTGCCCCGAAGCCGGCGACTAACGGCCCGGCCGGCGCGTGGCTCCCGCTTTGCTGGCCATTCCATAGCTCAATGGGTCACTAAGGTGGACAGATATCTTAGCAACTTTGCTCCAGACAAATATCTCAACGTCAAGACCTCAGTAGTCTTGCCTGGCTGGCATAGGCATGGGATCTCGTTTTCAACTTGTTCGTTTATCGCCTCTTGCAGCCATGGAATTGTGATACTAGCATCTTTTGAGATGATGAGATAGGCAGAATTATCCTCAACAGAGTAGTACAGCGGTATCTACCGCCGAGTCGGTTCCCTCAGCTCAAGATGGGGCCGCCATGTGGCTATTTGAGCCTCCCGGACTTGGATGACAGCGACGGGTTCGGAAAGCCACCTCGTCTCGCGCGGTAAACACCGTTCGGCTACGTCATCGTAAAAGAAGCCAAGACGACTGCAAGAAACCATATGTTCAGATATAAGATTGGCTCGGGTTCCCTTTTCCATCACGTTCTAATGATATGGTCGGTGTAGATCGGTGAGCTTTCCTTCCATCTTCAGATCTGTGATCGTCGAAAGAGCTCCACCAGCAATGTTGAGTTGTCCGGGGTGCGTTACACTTGCTTTAGGGCCAATCATGGATTGACAACCCAACCACCTCTCTCTTGACAGGTGTGACGTCGTATCCAAACGCTTGTTTGACGTATCCGACAGAAGACCCTCACTATGGATACTGAAAGAGATGAAAACTTACGAACTGCGACTCTTACGCCCTACGACACCAGAAGCGCCGAGAAAGACTGGAAACTTATCCCATGGTTTACTGTCTCCCTCCCGATAGATCCTGGAACATATGTTTGTACGAGTGCTTGCGAATAGTCTTGTCGCTTATGCGAGCATGGTATGTGAGGCTGCGGCAGGACTCCAGGCACCAGTGGAAATCCATCTGGGTCTATACTAGGTAGGTTCGACACTCCGAATGAGAGATTCACAGAGGCCCGGGAGGGTCCCATGCCATACTGCAGGTGATGCCGGTCATAGGATGGGCCGCTTCGGAATTCTCGGACTCGAAAGACTCCGGGCATCACGGGGGATGCGGAGCAGCGGCACGCAATGGGGACGGGCCGTATCGTGATTGGTTGCGGGTAGAGGATGCACACCTTTCGCGAGGTGCCTTGGCAGGCCACCTTGAAGAATCCGTCATTCTGCTTGACAGCTCGTCCTAATAGGGGCACCCACCTCCATGCGAGTGACAGCCTAAAGTAGCGTAGGCGGCGGGCTGTCCACGGTCGAACTGAATATGAGGGGACTATTGCCACTCTCTGAGGCATGGGTTGGAGGAGGCCATTCCGGGGCTGTTTGTGATTCTGGATCCAAGGTGGAGGCATTTTGCTGAGCTGGCAGATGCAGAGACATCCTGTGGAGAGAGACTTGTTGGAATTGTAGAAGCGAGAGCATGCATTTCGACTGAGGAGCGATAGTTGACGTGAGACTGTGAGGCGACTACTGGCAAGGCACGCTCCTAGAGCAGGTTTCAATTGTGAGGTCGGACGTGACGATGGAGTCGGAATCAAGATGTTCCATTGCCAGATTGAATCGTAAGGTAGTGGACGTGGGCGTGTGAGAAATGGAAGCTATTAGAAGGGGTGCAGTCGGGTGCTGACGACATCAGACGGATGGAACGGCGGTGGTGACGACCGACGGGAGCTGGATGGGTCGAAAAAGTAAGGCGAGGCAGGAGAGGTGCAGGTGTACATACCCCGTAGGCGCAGGTGCAGATGCAAGTTGGAAGGAACGAAGAAGGAGAAGAAGATGGGTACGTATTTGTTATGTCAGGCCCTCAGAAGGAAAGTGACGCAAACTTGGAAGTGACCTTCCTCCACGTGCCTTTCCGTGTCTGTTGCCCATTCACCACCTGAATGAATTAATTCTCCCTCGTGCCGCGACGATCGAGCACATGAAGATTCCATTTCTTCGCGGGTTTCGACACTTGATTCCCCGACTCACGAAAGCTGGGTATCCCGTAGCACTGCTGTCGATTCTCGCCTTGCCTGAAGTTAGCTAGACCAGGTTTCCCAAAGGTGCAGATAAGCGGGCATGATTGGCGGCCTGTGTGCAAGTGTCCGAGCACCTTGTAGGAACTCTCCGAGGGGGCGGGATCATCCCAGGCACCTGTCCGTCCCAAACACCGCAAGACACCCTGGGTGGGACCGCATTCCCGTCTTCCAAAACGACGCAGAAAGACAGACCAAAATAGACGGGGGAGGTCGTTGTTTTGTTTTGGCCCAGTCAGTGTCTGGGAGCTGCTACATCGTGAGGTTCGCCCGCCCGCCGCAGGTCTCAGTATATACCAGGGTAAGGATAGGTAGGGCATTGAGGGACTTGGGGGATGGATGGTCTGTGAAACATGCATCCAATGACAAGTGCGTGTACGCATGAAGTTGAAGAAACAATCAAGGTACCACGCTGGCTTCTTTCACCTGCGAATTCCTCGCTTGAAGGCAACTTTACCTTATTGTCAATTCAAATGCAGGGCTTTGCATTCATAAGACAAAGACCTCCCGTGTCTGAGGTAGGTTATGTTGGCGCATTGCGATAAGGTAAATAAAGCTTGAATGCTTGTGTCACTGCCGAACGGCATTTGTTGTGTCTTTGATGGATGCTAGATTTTTCTCGTGTCATTAAATTTGATGAGAAGCCAGCTCTCATACCTGGGTAGACTAACGCGGCAACAATCGACCATTCCTCAGTAGAGGTTTAATAGTATCACATGTATTGGGTGCCATTGAGCTTTTGCCCTGTACAAACTTCAATTTAAATGTAAATGGTGCTGTGCGAAATCGATACAAACCCCTTTTGCCCCTCCTTCACCACAGGGCTGTAGGGGACTCGAGAGCTCAGACCAGGCGGCGTATACGTACTGATACCTTCCATCCACGGGTTCGGAGTACGTACGGGTGGGTGAGAATCCCAACCACCTTGCGCTTGCGAATTGCAGCAAGCAAACAGCAAACGCGTATCCCGCTGAGAGCCAGTCTGTCGGACCTGGGGTGGTTCCCCGAGATTGCCATCTCCCCATTTACACAGGAACTTGTCCCTCTTGGGTTCGTAATCTCATCTTTCATCGCATTTTCCTCTCCCACGTGTCTGCCTATCCCAGCAGATTGCTCATTTTGATGTTATCTCGACTTGTGCTATCGCAAAAACTACTTTACTGAACAATATTTTTCGACTACAACCTCTCATCCAGAGGCTTATTCGAATACTGAAACTGATTTGGCATCGAGTAGTGTTACCCATCGTTCTTAGGATGGGTGAGGCCACATGGCGCGGGCCGGATGGATAGTCGGGTAGAAAATGATGACGACGATGCAGTCCGCAGCAGGTTGGCAATAAAGTGAGAAGGTGGTGCGGTGCAGACAGCAATTTCGGCCCATTTCACAACGAATAAGTCCCATTGCAGTTGCACCACTTCTCGAGCCAGCCCAACTTGAGAGTGATAGCTGGGAGGCTGGCAAACTTACTACGTACACAGTGACCGAGCCTGGCAATGTACAAGATACTCACAGGCCAGCTTTCTCAATTTGCATGGTTGAAGGTATGGTACACACATGGTAAGGTACCCATCTCCACTGGCACTCGCAGTAAAGGTACCTGACGGAGCACGTCCACGCTTACCCCCCCGTCAAGCCCCCCCGTGCTGGCTTGGCCTGGCCGGGCCTTGACTGGAATCTGTTTCTGTCGGGTCTCTTGTCTGCCACACCCAAATTATTGCTCGCTGGCTTCTACGTTACGCCTGCTCCCTTTCTTTTTTTGACTTTGTCCAATGCCTCACTCTTTCCTTGCTTTTTGCGATCCAAACCGACGAAGACGGCGACTGATTTTCCAAACTTGAGGCGACGCCTTTCATTTCCTCTCTCCAACCTCGATGCTATTTCGTTGCCATCGTCTACTACCGACTATCAGGTAGTCCTCCGACTCTCCTCGCTCATCGGGCCCCGATAACCCCGGCGCCATGAACGCGATCCAGCAAAAATGTCGACCGAAGCACCAAGTGCTGGTCCTCAAGTGTTACCCAAGGACCAACAAGGGCGCTGTTGATGTCAAGCCGAACTCTAGCGAACTGAGCTACCTGCTATTTTATGCTACCTCCCGCCGTTCCAAGATTCAGAAGATTGGCGCCTTCTTGGAGAAGAAGACGGCAAGCGATGTCTGGCGGCAGCGCATCGGGTTTGTGAACCTCCCTAGGTATTGAGAGATCGCCTTACTTACTGGGCCCTTTTCTAGAAATGTGCAAGTCACCCTTCGAATCCTCACGGCACTGATCGAAAAGGCCCCCAAGGACCTGCCGCTCGTAGCTCCGAATGTACTCAAAATCCTCGACCTCATCCTCGGATCCAAGGACATCACCATGGTCGAATCCTCCATACCTACCTTTGAGGCGTTTTGCGAAAATCACGATGCCTCGTCCTCCTTTGCAGACCAAGCTTATCTCGCCCAGTACGAATCGATCGTTCGCACCTACGCTTCGCTTGCCTCGACCCGCGAAAACCCTGGGAAAGGAGCTTCTAGCAAGCCTGTACTGATGCGGTGGAGGAGCGCTGGCCTCGAAGCAATCAGGAGCGTTTCCTCTTCGGAAGCTCTATCGACTGTCACTGGTCGCCAGTTCGACGTTATCGTTCCCGTTATTTTGGACAACCTATGGTGGGATGACGACGAGCTGCTCGACACGCTGCTGTCGCGCATACAGATGGAAGAAAAAGTGCAGGCAGAGAAGCTTCGCCGTAGGACGAGCGTCGCGACTGTGGAAACCAACGATACCGGCGACGCAAACCCCATTGCTCTCACAGGCACTGCTCACGATGTAGACAGGCTGGCGGAAGAGGACGTTGGTGTGCTCGCCATGCAGTGCCTGAAGCAGATATTTGTGACGCCAAACCGACCACAGATTCATTCCGCGACTGGTGCTCTTATTCAATTCATCGAGGATCGCGTCGCAAATGGAAACACAGTCGTCAAGCCGGACGAGAAGCTAGGCCAGGATCACGGGTGGGCAATAAGCATGTACAGCGCAATCGCGAGATGGGCGCCTGTACAGGACCGCTATGTCATTCTGGTGACGGCCATGGATCATCTGTCGAAAGCACCTGTCAAGGACGACAACCTCAAGCTCCATCTATCGTTGACGGCCATGATTGGGTCTCTGCTGCGTTCCGACGTCAACCTGATTGGGCTGAGCGCCATGGACGTCTTGCTCGGTCTCGTCCAGCACATGAAGAAACTCATTCAGCTGCCAGGAGGCTTTGGGAGAACTGAAGGAGAGCCCGAAGAAGTAGTCTCTACCCTTCAAGGATCCGGCGACGTATTCGCTCAGCGAAGAGAACTCCTCGAGCGAATTCAACTTTGCATTGGAGACTTGGCGACACATGTCTACTACGCAGACCAGATTTCGGACATGATTTCGACGATCCTTCTCCGACTTAAGCCGTCCAAATCCTCAAGTACCAGCTCGTCGCCCCAAGCCGAAGCCTCTGAGCAGCCCCCCTCCGATGAGATGACTGCCAGCCAACCTCAGCTGGAAACGTACCTTTCCCGTAACGTTGGCAAGACCGCTGCCTTGAAGGCCATCAAGAACATATTCCTCATTGCAAACCCACGTGCACAGATGTCCGGCAACTTGAACTTGTCGAGAAACAAGGTTCCTCTTCAAGTTTGGGAGAACACGCACTGGCTTCTGCGGGATCCAGATGGCGAGGTCAGAAAAGCCTACGCCGATGCGCTTCTGACCTGGCTAGACCGCGAGACGACAGCGGCGGATTGGAAGGCGCGGGACGAAAGCTCTCAACACCACCGGTCTTCTCTGAAGAACAGTCGCGAGCTTCAACCCGCCAATGTTGCTCAACGAGCCGCATCCAACGCATCCAACCGCGAGAAACCATCGAGGCACCGCTCACACTTTCTCCAACTTCTCCATATTGCAATCTACGACAACGCGTTGCAATATGTTGACTATGACCCGGATATTGTTCTTCTTCACGTGCTGCTTACGAAGCTTGTGTCCCAGTTAGGTGTCAACGCAGTCCAGTACGGATTGCCAATGGTATTCCGTCTCCAGGAGGACATTCCAGACGCAGAGCTGCCAGTTCAAAAGGTTCGCCTGGGCAGTCTTTGCCACGGATATTTCTGGGCAGTGACCGAGAAGTTCGACATTGAGAACTCTGCCGTGGGACGTGCCATCACCAATGAGGTCATTCGAAGACGCAGCAAGCATTTCTGGACTGAGGGTGTGGCTATCCCTCCGCCAGCCCTGGAGCTCCTCGGAACGCCTGGAGTTCCCAAGTTGCAGACCAAGCTGCCTGCCACAGAAGTCGAGAGTGAAGCGTTGCTGCCATTCGATGACCGCGCATCGTTTGTAGAGAGCATCGCTGTGAGCTATGCGGACACAAGCATCTCACCGCCGAGTAGTCCTCCTCAATCTCCTGGTCGGAACTTTTCGCATCCCATCCTTAGCACCTCGATTTCAACAACGCCCGCGGCGCCCGGTTCGGAGCTGCCCACAGCTTTCCGCGAGCACATGCTGACAGACTGGTCAAGAGATGCGGCTATGCTAGCCTTGCAGGCGGGAAGCAAGTCAGAGTCGCTAGCTGGTTCGAAAAGCGGCACTATGGGAACCAACCGACACCACCTGACTGTTAATGGCGCTAATGGGCATGGACAAACGGGAGAGTCTTCACCGCTTGGCAGCCAGCGAAACCTTCGTCCAAACTCATCCCAGGTTGCCGGGGGCTTGTCTCCCATGAGCAAGCTGCGAAAATCCAGTGTCCGAAGTGGCGTTTCGCCCTCACCGTCGGATTCGAGCCGAGGTGTAGTTACATCCATTGATCAACTCAAGATGGTCTTGACGGGCCAGGTGCCGGCGACACCCATTGGCACGTCAGCAGGCGTGCGCCATGACAGTGACAGCGACAGCATGGTCAGCTACGACTTTACCCCGTCAGAGCTCAGCTTCAACCCGGCGACATCTCAGCCAGAAAACGGCGATGGAGCCTCTCTTGGACGGCAGAGGTCTTCATCGGCATCACGCAAGGGTGGGCCGCTCAACTCCAACCCTTTGTACGAGCATAACGAAGACGAGGACGTTCCACCGGTGCCGCCATTGCCCGGTCACATTGGTGGGCTGACGTCCTCGGTTTCTATTCAGGATTACGCAGTAAAGCCGGCGAAACGAGTACTTAGCAGCCGCGGTGGTGACAGTTTATACCAGGGTTCCGCGAGAGGGGATGGAAACATGTCAACGGTGTCGGGAGGAGGGATGGATCTACACGACCTTCTTAATGGGATTGACAGCAGAGCTGGAGAGCTCAGCTTAGGGAACGTCACGAAGCCACCTTACTAATGGAATTGGGCGATGGATTCAAAAAATTTGTATTGGTACACCTTGGCGTAGAAGTATAGCGAGGCGCGTAGCCGAGTTCTGACAGTTAAAACAACAATTATTGAAAGATCTAACAATTCGTCAATTTCCAAAGCATTCGAAAGGACCCTGAAATTTTAACCTCGTACACCGAGGCTTCACCGAGCTCACCTCCCGAGACCGTCCCGCATTCTGATGTCACGCTAAGACATGAGCCAATCATGCCCCTGTATGCCCGACCGGGGCTAGCCGCGAAGCTTCCAAAAACTAATTCAACGACCAACTTGCATTTTGTAGCTGCAGCTCCCATAGCTCCAATCCATATCTACAACCACGAAAGGGCGTACCATCACAATGAAGCCGTCAACACGCATCCCGCTGCGCCTTTTTACAGCGACGTCGTCGCCATTGGCTTCGTCAGCCAGACGGTCGACCTGCGCCGCTGCTGCCTTCAATGCGCGCGCCATCTCGACGACGCCCCTCAAGCCCGCCGAGGTCGCGCCCGTGGTCGGCACGGGACCGCCGCCGGAACCGCCCATTGCTGACATCGCCGCCGAGGACCGGGCAGCGGCGGCGCGGATCCGTGTCGAGAGGAGGAAGAAGCAGGCCGAGATGCTCAAGCACGCCAAGCGGATCCGGACGTCGGCCGAGGCCAAGTCGAGTGCGCCGGGGGCTTTGAAGAGGAGGTTTTGGAATGATGTCAGTGTGCAGGAGGTAGATGGTATGTCTTCTTTTTCTATCCCATGATCAACAGCTCGTGTCACGATGGACCGCCTTGGAGAGATTGGCTAACGTTGGCGTTCAACACAGGTGCCCTCCAAGTCCACCTCGACTCCCGTCCCCTCCGCCACCCCAACACCAAGGAAATCATCCGCCTCCCGCCCTCGAAGCAGCACCTCGCCTCGGCCCTCGCCATCGAATGGGACCTCATCACCTCGGCCGAGCAGGCGACGAAGCAGCACCTGATCCCCCTGACCTCGCTCATCTGCCGCGCCATCGACATCGCCGCCGACGACGCCGCCAACGACGGCGCGATCCGGGAGCACGTGGCCAACACGCTGATGCGGTACCTCGACACGGACGCGATGCTCTGCTGGGCGCCGCCCGCGGGCGCGACGGACACGCGCAACGACGCGGGAGAGTCGCTGCGCGACGTGCAGAAGAGGACGGCGGACGCCGTGGTCGGCGCCTTGACGGGGCGGGTGTGGCCCGGGATTGAGATCCAGCCGGTGCTGGACGGGCATAGCATCGTGCCGCAGAGGCAGGCGGAGGGGGTGAGGGAGGTTGTGCAGGGTTGGGTTATGGGGCTTGACGCGTGGGAGCTGACGGGGTTGGAGAGGGCCGTGTTGGCGGGGAAGAGTCTTTTGGGGGCGGCGAGGTTGGTCGTGGAGTGGAGTGAGGGCCCTGTTGGGGAGTATCGCGATAAGAATGGGAAGGGGGGCAAGTTCGGTGTCGAGGAGGCTGCTACGGCGTTGAGCTTGGAGGTTACGTGGCAGACTGGGGCGTGGGGCGAGGTGGAGGATACGCATGATGTTGAGAAGGAGGATTTGAGGAGGCAGTTGGGGAGTGTTGTGTTGCTTGTTTCTGGTACGAACCGGAAGTGAGATGTTGCGATGTGGTGATCCTCGTGATTGAGGTACTTGGGTGGTGTATTGATAGAGACTGGGGGGCTGTACATCAAAAAAGATAAGAGACACCTGGTTCCAGAAAGCCAAGGATGTTTTCATGTAGAAGTAGTTGTTTGAACAAAAGTTGGCGATGGACCACTCTTTACACTCAATTCTGGATGCTCTTTCTTGCGGCGAGCTCTCCAACCGTAATATTCCTTGCCCTACTATGAAAATTGATGGAACGTTATTGCCTTGTAGCAGAGCGACCTGAGTGGTACAAGTCCTATCTCTCATGGCGGTGGCCTCAAATCGTCTCCTAGGATCTAGAGAGCTGGGCGAGTTCATTGCTCCTCTGCTCAAAGCTACGTTTCACATGTAAACTCTCTCAAGGGCACTCTTTAGGATGAAGAAGAAACTTAACGTTCGAGGCTTTAGGGGTTACTCTCCAAAATCGAGAGAATGAACCAGTCATATCAACGATGCGACTCTGGACAAGGGGGGATGCAGCCTGGTTTCAGCGGTTGATGAGTGGCGCAGGGTCTGTGACTGTGATTCGACATCTTTAAGGCACTCTTTCAGGTTTCGCTATCTGCCAACGAGTACCTGCGCAGGCGCCCCAAAACGACCAAAACGACTTGTGGCGAAGCCTTCAAGAAAGCCTGACGCGCACTCCCATTCGACGAGAGGTAATCTTGGAGGGTGGCCGGCTACTCGTGATTTGCCACTGCAATGGCCCTTTTATACAAACCGCCGCCCATTTCTTGCATTGCATTTTTCTTCTCGTCATCTCATCTACATTTACTTTGCTTCCAAAATACCTGTCTTTTTGGCCGAGAAAACCAGTGTTGTTGAGTGTCTGGACCGTGTTCAGAGCTCGCCGCCCAAATGTCTTTCGGCTGGTCTGCCGGAGACATTGTCGCAGCTCTCCAACTGCTTAACAAAGTCCGCATCGCTTTGAAAGACTCTGGAGGCTCCAAGACCGACTATCAGGATGCTACATCATTCCTTGACGAGTTGTCGACTACACTCCGCACTCTCGACAGCATCCAGATTACCTCTCCACACCCAGAGCTTCTGCAAGATATCAGCGACCACGTTGAACGTCTGCGAAAAGAGATTGATATGTTTCTGAAGACCTTACAGAATGACTATGGGGGTTCACTTGGACCTTTCTCTACATCCAGCAAACCCACAATGTTACAACGCAAAATCCAGTATGGAATGTCAACCTCGAAGAGGGTCCAAAGTCTACGCGCAAAGATTGGCCCCGAGTTATCAACGCTACAGATTAAATTAATGAACCAGATGTTGTTAGTATAGATCATTAAACCCCTTTATACCAATGCCATTGAATTAATAGAAACCTTAGGCTTGTTTTTGCCAAATTACCATCTGATATTCAGCGTCAGATGGAACATACCACGAAAGCGGCATTGGAATCGTACAGCCGCAACCCAGAAATTAGAGCCATTCTACAGACTTTCGAATCCCAAGGAATGAAGCTAGATGGCTGCCTTGAACGAACTTTCGAGATTCTGTGCAATCTCGAAGTTGTGAGCACCGAGATTCGGACACGAGACCGGCAGCAGGGGCAAGTACCTTCAGACCAACCGGAATCACGGCCATTGGCAGCACCAAATACCCGAGATATCATAGCCGAGGATTGCCTTGATATGGATGCTTTGTCTTCAATCCTACAGGGCGGCCAGCAAGTCGCGGTTGGACTGATCAGCATTTTGAGAGCCGTGGTGTAAGGAGCCTTCTCCTACAAAGATTTCGAAACCCCCTGGTCTTCCTGGAAACTGACGAGTACCAGATGCCTAGTTTCCTTGGCTATCATGACAGGCTATCAGGAGACTGTGCTCCCACTTTTCAAAGGACTGAATCTCATTCTTCTTCAACCTTCCACGGGCGGGATCAAACTCATTGATGCCCTAGGAAGAAGGGCGACTCTGCCGTACGACTGCGGGAGGTCCTGGACAGTAAGTAATGATCCAAATACCAAGTCGCTCTTACATGATACGAATAGCTCCGGAGAGTTTACTGAGTGTACTTAAATTAGATCGTTGACAAGACCATCCAAGTGTGGTTCCAGGACTGCCCGGGAGAGGACCTTGTCCGGAAGGGGATGTACTATGTTGCCGACGCAAAACACCCGTCAAATTTTCTCACCGAACAGTCTTGGCCTGGATTTGCTAAAGATGGCGCGGCAATTCAAATGTTCGTTCCCACGAAGAATTGCACGGAGTGTGGTGGCACTATTTCTTCGGAGTTTGCAAAGAGGCATGATGTTTGGTAAGTATGACTCGTTTCATTCTCGGGGGCTCTGTTGGTTTTCGACTGCACAACTTCACGGGATTACATTACTAGACAAGATGCGAGGTTTGAAGCATCCGATCCTGACATGAATACATCTAGCTCGGCTTGCCGAAGGCCATACACAACTCTTTGCCATGACAACGGGGTATGCGACCGCTTAGACGCCCACTTCCTCAGCCTCATAGCAAACTTTGGCTTATTGAAACGTGGAGCGGTAGAAAAAAGATCTGATGGATCACAGGGCGACAAAAGCTACCCGCATAGCATGCATATCCGGAATCGGCGGCTGGAACATGCTCTACACTACGAAAGGACAACGTTACCGTTCACACAAACCGACGAACCAAACGTAGCGACAAGGCGTATGTTGACATCTCAGTATCTGAGAATTTCGATGCCAAAGCCTCATCCGGAACCAAAAGTTTCACTTCGGCCAAGGGATTCAAAGGCCTCACCCATTTAAAAACCGAAGTCCGGAGAGCTAGCAAGGAAAGTCCATTTTTTCTGTTTCTTGGATTTACTAGCTTTGATCGAGTTTGATTAAACATTCAGCGAAGCCCAAAAAAGATTGAACACCTACATGCGTCAATGAAATCTCTCCTCCGAACCTGGGTCACAATTTTTACTGACAAGTGAAGAGCGAGTAATGAAGAGATGGATGTAATGAACAATGTATTCCGCATCACCGTACCCGGCCGTGACTAAACTGCGCACTAAGTAAGGACTGTAATCATCTCCCATCATCAAGAGACATGCCATCATCAAATACGTTACAAAGGTGTCCAGCCTTATTAACAGTCCTCCCCCGAAATTAACTCCTGGTCATTAAGGAATGAAGTAAGAATGAAAACCTTGCCCTATGCCCCTTATTTTCTCCGATTCATCTTTTTGCAGATCCCGGTTGTAAAAACACAACAAAAGGGAAGGGGGATATGGTATACAAGGTACAAGGGAATCGTTGTCTGTGACAAGACTCGATGCAAAACTCCTTTACATCAAACCGACAGCAGCAACGAAGGCGCCCAAGGCAGCGCCAGCAGCCAAGACGCCGCGGTTGGCATCAGCAGGAGCAGCAGCATTAGTCGACCCAGACCCGGAACCGCTCGTCGCCTGGGCGGCGAACGCGCCAGTGAAAGTCGTGAGCAGCGTGCTGCTGCCAGACACGGCCTGGGCGACGGTGGCGGGGCCGGTGGTGGCGACGCCGTTGACGGTGCGGGTGAGGGTGACGGTGTCGGTCTTGTAGGCCCAGCCGGGGCCCATGCCGCCCCAGGCGCCGCCGGGACCCCACCAGCCATCGACGGGGCAGCCGGTGATGGTAACGGCAGCGGCGTCGCCCGTCTTGGAGCCCCACCAGCCGCCGCTGTAGGTGAAGGTGCTGGTGCTGGCGCACGAGGTGAAGGCGTTGCAGACGGAGGAGGAGACGGAGGTGTAGGTGGAGAGGGCGGCGGCGTCCGAGGTGCAGGCGGACTTTACGCAGTCGTTGAGCTGCGGGGCGTCGGTGCAGAAGGCGGCCGGGGTGGGGGTTGCCGTGGCGAAGTGGGATGAGAAGCAGGAGCTCTGGTAAAAGTGTGTTAGCAAAACGCATTCGGAGTATATAGAGTTCAAGAGAATTGAGACGGTAGGTCTGAGGGAGAAGTTGGGACCGAAGGGCTGGGATGAACGGGAGGGAAGTGTGATAAAGCTTAGACTTACAGCGCATGATGCAACACCGTTACCGAATCCGCCGGGGCCGAACCCGCCGAATCCACCACCGTAGGCGAATCCACCCCAGCCGGCGCCGTTACCGGGTCCAAAGCCACCGTTTCCGGGTCCAATGGGGTTGGCGACAGCGGCGGCGCCCTGAGCCAAAGCGGCAGCAACGAAAGCAGCCTTCATTTTGGTTGATTTGATATGTGTTTTCTTGTTATTGTGAAAAGTTCGATGTGAGAAAATTCCCTGCGCCTGCAGATGGATGTAAATGCGTGTAAATGAGTTTGGCTGATGTTTTTATGTTGCGACGGAAGAAGGAAGATGAGATGCAATTCCGATGTGATGGTTCAAAACAACTTTCAAACAATGGACGAACTGAAGCTCCAACGACTTGTCTTTATATTCCGTGGAAAACGACATGACCGCCTCTTCTCTCTCTGCATCGCTTTCCGCGCACGCCCTTACACACCCCCTTCGACTACCGTTGCCTTACTCCGCTAGTCTCACTCAAATGCCGTACGAAGTGGTGCTGATGAACACGGCATGAGGGACATGGGGAGGAACAGACAGCTTCGGTCCCGAGCAGGTGCATGGCCGCATGGCAAAAAAAACGAAAAGCAATGACAGGGTCTTGGCGTGCATCTTCGTTTCCTCTCTCCTCTACTGGGGCAGCGGAGGCGAGGAGGAGCCGCCTTGGTCCCACGGACACCGCGGTTTGTGACTCTAGCTCTTTGAACCTCCGCAGATCCTACCGGATGCCTAGGCTACACTACTGGTTCCTCTCACGCGCATCACACCTCCTCCCCCAGAGCCGTGTATCCCCCTCCATCCCACAACTCTGGTCTGCTTACCTTACCTCACATCCCAACAGCCTCAGCTCGCGCGCACATCTTCTCGCCCTGTCCGACCCTTGATCAAAGCCCCCAACCGCGCGGCCCTGCATGGCAGGATCCCCCCCGGACGGTGTCACCAGGAAAAAGAAGGAACAAGAGCGTCGCGAATGTGTGGATGTTTGCCCTCATGGACACACAGAGCCTCTCACCCACAAAAAGTCAGACTTTAGCTGCTGCAGTCGGACAAAACGCTAGTGGCTCGTCGGCAAGTATGCTTAGCTATTAGCTCCAACGGGGGGCCTCTCGCGCGTCGCTGAGAGGGCGAATGTGTGATGTGACACAGCATGGAAAAAAGAATGCTCATCCGGGATGGGGTTTGGGGAACACCGGTCCACCACCGCTAGTGTTCGGTTCGGCGATCCGTCATGTAAGTCCAAGCCAATCAACACCAACCTCCGTTTCAACCGCATTGCGCTCTCGGTCCCCCGGGTAACTCCATCATACCTGGTGAATAAGGTACTTTTTTAGTACTGGGTGAGGTGAGGAAACACCAAAACGATGGAGAAGGGAAATCCGTCTCTATGCTTGGTTTCTCTGAAGCGTATGTACTTTCCTGCGAGGAAGCGTCAGCCCACGTTTCCCACCCCATTCGGGGTTTTGGCAGAAACATCAAAACAGAAAAAGGGCTGACGTATGCCCCTAGGGCTTTTATTCTTTCGTCCGAATGGGTTGCCTTCCTGCTTCCTGCTGCCGACGAATCCAGCTCGTCGGGAACAGCGCATTGCACTGCACTGCACCTTCAAGTCGGGACGAGGACGAGAGAAGAAACGAAACAAAAACGGCGTCAGCGAAAGAAGGAATGGACGATGACTGTCTCTGCGCCGGAAAGGGAACGTGACCACCGAGAACTAGGCCGAAGCGCGTTCATCGCATTTGTTTCAGAGTATGTGCTTATCCTGCTCGCTCGGTGCCGGCTGATCGACACAACCATCACCACCACTAAAAACAGACCGCCCGCCGTCAGGCTTTGGCAGCCCCGATCGTTGGCTTAGCTGCCGTCGTGCCGAGAGGCGAGGCTGGTCATATCTGCTTCAACTAAGGCAGGTACTCTCACGGGGCTTCGCGCATGCCTCAAAAGATGACGCGGACAGGTTGGCACCCGCTGTCGGTGAGTAAGCTGGGAAAGCTGACCGGAAGTGAGAGGAAGAAAAGTATCAATTGTTTCTGTGCGTGTCTATTCATCTCTAGTCCCACGTGTGTGTCGGATGTTCGGCCGTCTGCAACGCCGTCTCATCCCCTAGAATTAATCCCAACCCGAAAAAAGAAGACCCTGCTTGCTTAATGCTGTGTTAGCAGGCCTGTCCACCTGAACCTGTCCATCTGCAAACTCCAACGCAAAAAGAAATGCCCGAAATCTCATCTCAAACATGCCATTGCTGCAGGGCAGTCCAGTCCCAAACTCATACAAGTAGTCCCTCGCCTTTCTCGAACACCGCCTTATTGGCTCAATGACGTCCGTCTCATCATCATCGTAAATCGAATATTTGGACTGCAGATTCAGAGGAAGCCTCTCCGAAATGTTGTCCGACTCAACTGCGTCCAATTCCACACAGGTCTGCGCTACAGCATCGTGCCAAAGGTGTCCTCCTCCTCCTTGAAGGGGATAGGTTTGCGCGGACTTGCGTCGTCGGTAGTCTTCCGGTGTCGGAATGTGAAGCCGACGAAGAGGCTCTTGCCCATCTCGTCATCACGGTCCGCCATAGTCTCGAGGGCCTGCTGCTTGTCATGCACCTCCTTGTACTTGGCCATGTCCGCCTCATTACTGAAGTCATCGAAGTAACCGGCGTCCGTCTCTGAATCGAGCTCAGGCACGAATGGAGCCTTGGTGGTTCGTAGGGTGTCCCAGTCAACCT